GTAGATATTTAATTGTAAAAGTTCTAAAGGTCAAGGATTATTGAAAACAAAATAAGGTTTAAAAATCTGAGAGGTTTCCTGAGTAATAATGCCAACTTAAATGCCTGAGGTTTTTTAAACCCTCATGAATACATACAGATTTGAATAGCATTTTATATTCACACGCAAAAATTGATTTTTTCCACATTTTAATTATTTATCATGTATATTTGTTTCTCAATAAAGATGTAAATAAGACCAGGAAGTTTTTTGTACTCTACTAACAAATTGTGATTTAAATTATATTGTCTCTCCAAAATGCAGGTAATCACGTTGTAAACAACAGTTTATGAAGAATGTTCATACTGTAAATTCTTATCCTGTTGACATTTTGTGCAAAATTAAAATTAGTATTTTAACTTATACTACTATAGAATAAACCACTTGATATTCATCTTCCCCTTGTAAAATAAAATTCAATTGTGGCCTAATATATATTAGTTCTCAGTTTTTAATAGTTTTTAAAATTTTCCAGAAGATAAATTTGGTAGTATTTTCAAATTAAAAATACGAATATATTTAGAGCTAGCCTTGAGAATTTTAAACATATTAATCTTTGTATAGTTCCACATTTCTATGAAATATAGTGAAAAAGATAATCCACCCTCAGATTCCACTATGTTCTTTTGGAATATGCTGCCTTTCTATTCCCTGGTAAGATTCGGGGGGGCTATAAATTTGAATCGTGTGCTATTCAACGACTTAGTAGTTATATAAGATCTGTTAATATTTAAATAGAAAATATGTTCTAGTCTCATATCTTTTGTGTGCCATTTAAATTGAAACTATAATGGATAATCTTTATTAAGACATACATCTTGAATTTAAGTTACTTTGTCACTTCAAGAAAACACTTAAAATTCTCTCTCTCTCTCCTTCTCTCTTCTTTTTCCTTTTATCTAAAGGCCTCGGATTATACACTGTAAATTCAGCATATGGAGATACCATTACTATGCCTTGCCGACTCGATGTACCTCAGAATCTCATGTTTGGCAAATGGAAATATGTAAGTTTGACCTACCTTGGACTTGGTTAATTGCCTTGGGGTTTTTAAATAAAATTCTTTCCGTAAGTAAATGCGAATTTCAAATTCACTTAATGGCAATAGCGAACTGTGGGTACAAATGTAGGAAGGTAAAATTAATGTGTCGAATATGTCAAAAAATAATTCATGTCTTACATAACAAATGCTATTTTAAAATACGGCCAACAAACACGTAATTCTTAGATCATATTAGTCTGAAAGATTCAACCTTAAGCGTTAGAGGTAGAGAAAAAGGCACAGTTCCAGAATATATTCAGCAGATTATAGGACAGAGCTCAGTGGAAGATGACAACCTCTCTCCACTTACTCGGGTTTTCTGTTAGCTGTGGCTATTGTAAAGGCAGGATATATCAGTAGCCAGAGCCCTCAGATAGTCATTGGGAATTGGTCATCATCATTACGAGCTAGCTTGCAGTGTTTGGCCCTGAAACCGTGTTGATGTTGTAGGGCTTTTTTTTACATTTTACATTGTCAATTTGATCCACATTTCTTGCAGATAGCAAAATCATATTTTTCTCAGGTGTGGAGGTGCAGATGGGTCTGGAATGGAGGGTAGAGATCCTGGTAGGTGCTTGTGGAATGGCTAGGTAGCTTTGCCTGATAAAGTGTCTTAGTTTAATTACCAAAATTATTGAAAAGTATCTGTGTGGTACAATTTCCATTTGCTGGACTACGAGAAACTAATGGCAGTTTGCAAGCTTCAGGTAGATATGTGTTTCCCCGGTCACAATAGCAAAGTCTCCCTAGATCCTTGAAATGTTAAAAAAGATATTTGCAGAGGGAAAGAATTTGGTGGTCAAATAAATTATGAAAAGTTTCTTTATTGTAACACTTCTCAGAGCCTTTCATTTGTTAAGATACATTATGAATTATCTGAGGGCCATAGTTTGATTCATTTCTTAGGTTTATTTGGCCACACGACTCTTTCCTCAGATATCTCCAAGAACAAACATTCTGAAGAATGCACTCTATGAAATATGCTTAAACTTGCACTCAAGGGGTGGTCTAACATAATCTTTTAAAATGTGGATTCCAAAGTCAGACCAATAGGTTCAACCATATACTCATTGTGGGATTCTATACACATGATTTAACCCCTATTTTCTCATCTATGAGATAATTATATTCTCCTTATGGTGTTTTGTGAGGGTTACATGAAGTAATTCCTATCAAAATACTTACCTAGTACTTGCCATGTGATAGTGGCTTGACAATGTGAGCTATTATGTCTGCGAGGTTGTGAACTCCTGACCACGCTATTCTTGTGTCACTGGAAAATGAAAGGAAAGGAAGGTTGGCGAAGTAGCACAGCACTTCTCTGCACTCTTTTCCTGTTATCCAGTTCCCTGAAGGTAATTTTGAACTAGTTCCAGTTTCCTATAAAGGTGGAAATTTGAAGTTAAGGCCTATGAGGAAAAAGTCTGCCAGCACTCCCCGAATTCCAAGGGCCTGGAAGATTACCACATAATTCACCTGTTGAATCAAATTTCCTGCCAAAGCAAATGGAATCAAGTGGCGAAAAACTCTTGCAATTACAGAACATTCTAACTATAATCCAGGGAGTAATTTTCACCTAAACTGAACTGGCACAGTGGTACTGGAAACCAAACAAAAATGACTATTTTCAAATTGATCGTTAGGCAGAAAGCTTCAGCAATCAATTAATGAGATACGTACCTGCTCTCAAGTCAGTCTTGATTTGTAGAAATAGTGTACATGCTTTAATTTAATGTAACCACCTGAAAGACAAGGCGAAGGTTTGGAAAAAAATAAAAGGAAGCAAACATGGAGGAGGCAAGGGATAGTTTCTCCCAGATCAC